TTCTTTTTGATTGGCACCGGCTCGGTTCTTGGCACTAGCTGCAAGAGGCCCTTGCTTGGAGCGGGCTTCGGGTGGGTTGTTAACTGTTGGGCTTGACTTGGGCGGATCTTAGATTTGTTTAGGGCTGCTTGGCCTAGGTTGACGCTTGGGCTGTTTTTGGGTGGGCTTAAGGCTTAATGTGAGCAGGTGGGCTGCACTAAACTTGACAAGCAGCCCTACACCACCTTCTTCCACCAGGTTGGGCTGTTTGGTGCTTGAGATTATTATGTTGAGGAACCCCGTTTAGTTGCAAACAGGCTTAGAAACTCAGAAGCCCTTATGCAGGAGATTAACAACCCCATCTGTATATATTGTTTTATTGATCATTATGTATCTCATTTAAAAAAAAAAGCCAAACAGACGCGGGCGAGAAGGCCCCGGCTTGTGACCTTGTTCAAACTTTGGTTTCACGCTCAGGCCCCCATGCAACAAAGGCACGCCGTATTTGTTGACTTGACCCCACCGCGCCATGAGCAACATAGCGTCTGGGTTGCGGGCGGCGTGGAGCCGTCGGGCAACGGGCGCGCTGCAAGGCGCTCCTTCACCTGCGAGCTCTTTTTCGTGGAAGACCCGTCACACACACACATACACACATGGCACGGCTTTCCCGTTGGCTTCCCTTTTAAAACACCAACAAAAAATGACAGAGCTGCGAAAAGACCTCACCAAAAACTGGATGACGCATCGCTGGGTTGATTGTCATCGGTGTTTTGCATAACCAGCCAAATCTTTTTGGGTGTTTGGTGGATTTTCGGAATCGCAGGATCCCTGAACAGAATTAGGACGGTACCCTCAAACAATATATGCATGAGTGGATAGCCAACCATGCTAAGTCAGTCGTAAGCGACTCAAAAAGTCTTGCCCGTGGAAGAATCTCGAAGTGGATCCAAAGCCTATCCTGGAAGAGTTCCTTTTCCAAGTAATTAGTTAGGTCCACCACAATGACACTCACTCGGAAAGACCCCGCCCCCCAGCAAAAAGCAGAACAGCCTTCTTTAAGAAACCAGCTGCTATAAGGGCTGGCCTAATTTAGACCATCTGTTGAGTCTGCCCTTTGAGTGGAACAGCAACTCGTATCCATGAAACACGATCCACCCGTGCCCTGAGCAGAGAAACAGCAGAGGGTGCCACTGAGGCTTCGATTCTCCCGAGGCACGAGAGGACCTACATAAAGGGTACACTGTTTGGTGAACACAACGAAAACAAAAAACAGTGACAAAAGGAAAGCAAAGCTTCTGGCGGACAGAAAACCTGGAGCCTTCTAGCGGAATATAAACCTGGAGCCATCGGTCAGTGAGTCATTACTCCTCCAGCCACTGAGAACAAGGACTGCCCTTGAAAACATTCTTGAGAAAGGGAGAGCGAAAAGCTGGCATTTTTCCAAGAGCCAACGTTCGCCCCAGCTTTACACAAGTCCTCTTCACATCCTACTTCCCCCTTGCGAACCAAGGTCCAAATAGCAAAAACCACCGGCGACAAAGCTTCAGCCCGTGGGCCAAGAAACCGTACCCCGCCCGTCCCAGATTTCAATGGGGAGATGGCCTTCACCACTGCCACGCTCTTTGAGCTTTCTGGACCCTGTACCTCGTGCACCCCTCTTCCACTGCCTAAATCGACAAAATCATAAATGGAGGTGTGCATGTGTGTGTTTGTGTCAGAAATAATATATATATATATACATATATATATATATATTCGTAGTTTTGGGGGGTTCCAAATGGGCTTCTGGATCAAAACAAAACATACACATCGTCCTGGTGAATCGCTCCAGCCTTGTGCAGGGACCTCTTGGTGGCCGCGAGCAGGGACTGGTACATGCTCCAGTTGTAGTGCGCCTTGACCTGGGTGGTTCATTGAGGCGAAGGCTTTTCCCCTTTTCACCTTGAAAACGGAAGGCAAGCCACAATGTTTTTCGGTGTTTCTTTTTTCAGGGACCCCCCCTCCCTCCAAAATGGTGGTGTTTCTTTTGGTTTCCATGAAAAATAAAAAGACACCCAAATTGCAGGGCCCCCTCTAACATACCCACCTGAGTCCCCTCAAGGTAGCCCAATATTTTTGGCAGTGAAGGCATGTTCCTTGGAAGGCCAGTCGGCTCGCTTCCTTGTTTCCATCATCCAGCTTTTAGCACATGGGTGTATGGGTCGAAGTCGAAGTCACGTTTTTGCCGTTTGCGTGTCAAGTTCACAGGCTTTGTGTAGCTGACCGACAATTGGTGAGTCATGAGTCACTAGAAGGGTTTGTCGGTTCCTTTTGGCTTCCCTTAAATTAACCACCAAGGTACGCTCAAAAAAGACACACCCAGAAAGCATTTCTGCCGTTGCTATAATTCACCAAGCTACAAATCAGGAATCTAAGGGACCTTCAAGGGTTGTATGGCTCGTACCTCCAATCGAGAGCTCGGGGTTTTCACTCAAACCCCAGTCGAGTGACTCTGGTAGAAAAAGAGGCCCTTTCCTTTTAGGGGTTGAGGTCTCTTTTGAAGCTGCCAAACCAAAGAGACAAACAGGCACTGCTTTGTGGCAGACTCATTCGCCAAGTCGCCTTGATGATCTCACTCTCCGAGATGCCGCGGACATGGGGATCTAGCGGAAACCTCCGAGCACCAGGGCCAAGGCCTGTAGAAGAGTGTCTACCATTGAAGGGGCGCGGAAGCGGAGAAACAAGAGGGGTATACCCCATGTTCCTTTAATGTGGTTTGGGAAGAAGTGAAACGTCTCAGAGTCATTGGCAGTTTACGCGAAATCCGGCAAACACTAAACGCACAGTGACATCACAAAACATCACAAGTAACGGACAACTCCCCCCCCCCCACAAGCATGGCTTGCACAGGCGAACGCCTAGCAGTCTTCCAACAGAGTCTCTATGAACCAAGCGATGCTTCATGGGTCAGTCAGAGGGGGAGCCATTCTAGTTTTCTACCTTCTTGCAAGTCAAACATCACAGGATCTCCCCCGTTTCCTCCAAAGGAGGCTTTTCTCAAAACAGGGAGCCCTCAGAGTCCTATGTCTCTGAGGATGACACGCCACAATGGTGCCCAGCATGTCGTTGACCTCAGGCAAACATGCTGCCATCCCTCCCCCCCAAAAAAAAGAAAGGGGGGGTGCAACCAGTTGCCGAACACCTCCTGACTGGGTTGGCAAAACAATGTCTGAACCGTTTGGTCTTCCTCCTGCACCTGTTGGTTTTCGACTCTGGTCTTCATGGCTCCTCCCAAAACAGTTTGAGGTCCACGGGACGTGAGAAACGGATTAGCAACTCAAAGCTTTGCAGCCGCTGAAGCACCATTTGGCACTCGCGAGCCCAAGCCATCAACAGTGCCATACCTTCCCCATTTTGTTCTGGGAACCTTCACTCCCCAACCCCACACGAAAATGACGGTGGTTTCCAAAAATGACGATGGGTGAAGGGAATGGGGAAATCCTTAGATTGGTTCTAGAAATCAAAATGCCAGCTTGCGAGGCGTGGCAACCCCGCCCAAATTGGCTGGGTGGGGTCCCTGCATCGGCTCAGCTCCCGGCCGCATTCTCCGTCTCGTGGTTCTTCGCCACCAGCCACTCCCTGTCGCTTTTTCCAGGGCGGCGCAGATTCGAACATGGAACCTGAGGGAGGTACGTGGTATGAACATGGGAGATAATTACGCGCTAGTGCTACACATGTCAACGCTTCCATGTGCCATTCATCCAAGCCGCCACAAATACGAGAGCTAAAACCAGGTAGGTGCAATGCGAACCCGGAAGATAGTAAAAGCTCTTGTCAGCTTCCTTCCAATTGGTGATTTGGATATGGTTGGATTGGTGGCTTGGTGGTTGGGGCTGCTTCCCCATTTGCCCACCGGGTTCTAATCCCCAAACTACCATCCCCCGCCATTTGAGAGGGGATTCAAATCACTTGGAGGAAATGGCTGATTCAGTTGTTGCAGCTCGCTGGAGGCCCATATCCTGCACATCCTGCTTCTCTTGCTCATCCCCCAACAGCCTGATGTTTAATCTGGCAGCGCCAATTGAACTGGGGGGGTGGAGAACGAAAATTGGGCTGGTTGACTCTTTTCCGGGAAAAGCAAAAAAAAGGCCGCTTAGCACGGAATCTTAGCTTGTGGTGGTCTCTATCGCCAACTAAGCCCGTGGCGTAGTGCGACGCACGTGGCCTTCCTGAATATCCACCTTGCACTCAGCGACTCCAACGGGAAACTAAAATTCGACAGGAGCGGTTGCTTTTTGTTGTTTTCCTCAAGAAATGAATTAACAAACAAATAACTATATACACATACACAAATACTCTTTTATCAGAAACAACAACACCGCAAACAGGGGAAATATGGGAATCGATCTCTGATGGATCACTCTCAAAGAAGCTTCTGCCAATGAGCGCGTTTGCCTTTCCACCACGACCTTTCAGAAGCGGGGTCAAGAATGAGGGAAACTGGGTTTTCAGAATCCTCCACCACCCCCCCCCCCCCACCAAAACAAATGTTGATAAGCACGGGAAACCCCACCCAAAGAACCCAGGGGAAAGAAGGCAACACAGGTCGGTCCCTCTGGAGCAGCCAGAAGGATTGGAACTTTGTTCCCCAAGCGAACATAACCAACATGCAAACATCCACCCTCTTTCCAACAATCATGGAAGCTGACGATCTGACATGATCCGAGAGTTTGGAAGACCGGCATCTGTCCACTTCATTGTCGGGAAGAGGGTAATGGGAACCGGCGACCCTGGATTTATAAACCCGTCCCGTTACTAGCGGGTGTTCCCCTCCAAAAGCCATGAACCCCTACAGAAAAGGTGGCTAATCAACTAAGGGTTCTACTACCATCGTGGTTGCACTCCCTCACATTAACATGTAGCCAAACAAGCACATGTTTAAAGACATCTCCTTCTGAGCAGCTAGTTGGTAGGGGGATAACATGAATTATCGCAGAAACTCAGTCCCACCGGACTCAACTTCAAGGTTCCGCGCCGCTTTTTTCCTGCGCGAGGCGCGAAGTTAAACTCCATACCCAATGAGCCGCCGGAACTACGCGTCGTCTCGGCCTGCGAGTCGGGCGAGCGGACGGCTGCAAAGAAATCGGACAGAAGGAACGCGAAAGGCACTCATCAACCGGATTGCCCTGAGCAAAAGGTCGAACCTTTTCCGGGTTTGATGGAAAATGACATTTGGCCATGGGTCAAACTCCAAATCGTACCCCCAGTGAACATCCCAATCCCCACTAAAATAGACCAAAATGGTGCTGCACCTACCCCAAAATGGTACCATTGGTTTCAACCCACAGCCATTTGTTTCCAAAGGGTCTGAGGGGCCAAGGTCACACCAAAGGCCAGCCATGTCAACAGTCCGATTCAATCCGGTTTTCGCAGACCTGCATTGGCATTCCATGATCATGAAGCAAGCTCCCTTCACCTGTGGTTCTTAGTCCTCACCCAACTGCTTTTTCCCAGGCCCAGGCCCAAACAAAAAGGACCTTGGCCATCTGCGGCGCTCAAAAAACAACATGTCATAGATGTGTTTCATATTCAGCCTGCCCTCACCCGTGGATCCCAGTTGCCTCTATATTAGGTACACCCCTCACCATTTTCCTTTTGGCTTTAGCGTGGTTCCCAGGGGGTCCTATACGGGCGTGGCTCACCCAAGGGGCCCAAAAATGGGTACTACTTTGTTGAGCCACGGCCATACAGGCAAATGGACCCACAGGACTGCAACAAATCTCCGTCCCGTGAATCTGAGTCGGGGCCCAGCCTCGCGACTCACGACTCGCGACTCGGGACTCGGCTCATGTCGCCGGCAGGACCTGGCGGGAGGCCAGCGAAAAATCGGTGCTTAGACTCAGTTGCCCAAAGTTTCTGTAAACAAAAAGGTCAATGCTTGGAAACCTGGACAGAACATGGACCACGTCAAAAAAACCAATCGGTCAGGTCAGCCTTGACCAAGTGGATTCGGATAGGCCATTGCCCCATATTCAAAGAGAATCAGAACCTTTCAACCCCGCAAAAGGATCGAGCTTAGAACCCTTCTGTGGTGCCCAAGGAAGACTGAGCGGCCCAAAATCTGCTAGGAAACGGACCTTCGATCTTTTGGCCCGTGCGTTAAAGAGACCCAAAGCGAACATCCCAACCTTCTGGAGCCGACAAGGCGCATGAATTCCATCTTCTTGGTCCTCCCCAGAAGAGGAACACACAGCTTTACACGGAATCGCCTTTGATTGGTGAGTTCGCTAAAAGGTTCATGGTCTTGAGTGAGCCAAACAGGGCCCCAACTGGGGCAGGGATCTGTGCGCCGATACCGCGCCAAGTTTCCCATACCTTGGCATGGCCATTTTCATGGTAACCCCACCCCCCCCGCACCTGATTTGCCTGCGGCTTACCCTTCTGGTTGATTTTCACCTGGACAGGCGGCATGCGTCTGAACACGTGGCACGACTCAGTTTCAACCCTCAGGACCCCAGTGGCCACAGGAAAAACACATCCAACCAAGTTGAGCCACCGGAGGGGTCAACCGCACAACCCTGACCAAATGCGGGTGGAAGGTTGGCAGTGGTCCTGAGGTTGGTTTCCAGTGGGAACCAAGAACAAGCAAGGGCAAGACTTGACATGGCTTACATTCTGAGACCCACAAGTCTGCAAGAAACAGCTAGCGTCGATCTTGTGTGCCTGCTCCTGAGGCAACAAATCAACGCCAAGCTGGACACCCAACCCCCCCGATCTGATCTCCAGCGGTTGGAAAATGAGATCGGTCTTGCCCAAGCAAGGACACGATTGGATGTCTCAGCAATCAGCGCCAGGAAGTTCTACGGAACAGCCGAAACCCTGTTGCTGGCTTGGCTCTCTTCTTGTCAAATGAAACCAAGTGATTTCTATCGTGGCAGCTCAGGAGATTCACTTCGGCGTAGTCTGAGACTGGTCTCAAAGTATGCCAGCCTGAGACTAGCCTCACTGGCGTGTCTTACGTGTCTGCGACTGGCCTCAGGCCCAGCCCAGCCAGCAACTCGCCACCCAGCCTCAGGCCCAAGTGTGTATGAAACAGGCCTTGCCCATCCAGCAACCCGCCCAAGCACAGCTCAGCCCAGCCCGCCCAGCCCAAGTTCCAGGCGCAACCAGCAGCGTAGTCCGGCTGCCGGGCAGCCAGCAACCCACCCATGGCTTCGCAGCCTCGTGGCTGAGACTAGCTTCAGGCCCAGCCCAACTCTGAGAGCATGCCAGCCACTAGGCCGGCCCCCAGCTCCCAGCCCACCAGCAGCTAGTCTGACGTGTCTGAGACTGGTCTCAAGCTACGCCAGCTACCTGTCTGACATGCCCCAGCCCCCCAGTCCGGCTGCCAAGCTGCTCAGCCCGGGCTGACCAGGCCTTGACCTCCTGCTCGTGTCTGGCCCCAAGTCATCCAGCAGGCCCAGCAGACTAGCCTCAGGCCCGCCTGCTGGCGTGTCTATTGGGGATATTTTTTCCGGGGTACTTAAGCAAATGGAGGTTTGTATTCCCACCATGTACCTGTCTTGGGCTGAGCAACCGAGCAAGAAATGTATGTCATGGCAAGCCGCCAGCCACGTGAAATGGAGGTGCCCAAACACCCAAAGTTGGTCTTGGTTGTTCAGTGACACCAATTATTGTTCCCCTTTTTATGGAGGCCAAGCCCCACTAAAAATGCTCATCCCCAGAAAGAGGTCCTTTTTTTTCCAAGGGCACTGAGCAGCTGAGATAGTCTTGGTTTTGGATTTCAAACCTTCCGAGCAGGACGGCTTCCGAACATCGAACTAGCACGGGCGAACTGGTGCGGTCACAAGCTTTCAGTAGGATTCGGACCTTCCCAACACTGGATTTCGGTGTTCCTGACCCTTCCCTCAAACTAGGCTGGGCCGAGGCGGGCAACGCGAAGCGTTTACAATTATTCTCTACCGTCCAAGTCACCCAAGTGAGAAAATAGTCGTTCAACCTGCCACCTGTTGGTTTCAACCAAAGGATTGGACCGGGGAAACAAACTCGGCCCACCCCTGACTTCCCAAGTCTACCCTTGAAAACTCCAACCTGCCCGGGACCAACCGCAGAAGGCCATGGGTGGGAACTGAGTAGGCAAAACAACAAGTTGCATCGGCCAGTAGGAAAATCCCAACTGTCCAAAAGCAGTCGGGGGATGCGGGCTGGATTCGAAGCGAAAGCTGCTGGATCCCAACCTTTCCTATGGAAGCTCTCGGAAGGGCTTCAAGAGGAACTCAGTCCAAAGTCGATTCGAGCTGCACACCAAAGTGTATGTGTCAAACTTGGGGCCCAAACTAAACGCTGTGTTGGCTTGTGCGTCAGAGATATAGGTGTATATTATAATATATATATATATAATTTATAATTATATATGGATTTATCTATGTTTCATCCGGGTGTATAAACTCGCCTGTCCTCTCCTTTGGCTTTAACATAATTGCCACTGGATTTCTGAAGTAAGAATTGGATCCCCGAGCAAAGGATTGGTCCCGCTGGTTTCCCGGATCCTTGCGCCTGGACCTGCACGGTGTCGCCGATGCGAATGCCCTTGTCTACGAACTGAATTGCGGGCATGAAGATGTCACCGCCACACCTCGGGCCACCAACATGAAATGATAAAACTCACTAATGTCCACATGGGATTAGTAAACGGGGTCCCCCCCCCCTCAACGATGGGGGCACCTGGAATACTATCTTGAGATCCAGTTCAAGTGAGTTTTCATTTGAGTTAGTATTGGTAGACTTGACTTTCCATTTTATTTCGCATTGCTGAGCTTCTTTTTGGGATTTGGAACTGGGTTTCAATTTGATTTAGTATTGCTGGAGGTTCCTTTTGAATTTGGAATTCAGTTTCAAGTTGATTCAGTATTGCTGGAGGTTGCTTTTGACATTTGGAATTGAGTTTCAATTTGATTCAGTATTGCTGGAGGTTGCTTTTGACATTTGGAATTGAGTTTCAATTTGATTTAGTATTGCTGGAGGTTGCTTTTGACATTTGGAATTGAGTCTCAATTTGATTCAGTATTGCTGGAGGTTGCTTTTGACATTTGGAATTGAGTTTCAATTTGATTTAGTATTGCTGGAGGTTGCTTTTGACATTTGGAATTGAGTCTCAATTTGTTTTAGTATTGCTGGAGGTTGCTTTTGACATTTGGAATTGAGTTTCAATTTGATTTAGTATTGCTGGAGGTTGCTTTTGACATTTGGAATTGAGTCTCAATTTGTTTTAGTTTGCTGGAGTTTGGAATTTGGTTTCTTTTGTGCTGGAGGTTGCTTTGACATTTGGAATTGAGTTCAATTTGTTTTAGTATTGCTGGAGGTTGCTTTTGACATTTGGAATTGAGTTTCAATTTGATTTAGTATTGCTGGAGGTTGCTTTTGACATTTGGAATTCAGTTCCAATTTGATTTAGTATTGCTGGAGGTTGCTTTTGACATTTGGAATTGAGTTTCAATTTGTTTTAGTATTGCTGGAGGTTGCTTTTGACATTTGGAATTCAGATTCCAATTTGATTTAGTATTGCTGGAGGTTGCTTTTGACATTTGATTTAGAAGGTTGCTTTTGACATTTGTTTTCAATTTGATTTAGTATTGCTGGAGGTTGCTTTTGACATTTGGAATTGAGTTTCAATTTGATTTAGTATTGCTGGAGGTTGCTTTTGACATTTGGAATTCAGTTCCAATTTGATTTAGTATTGCTGGAGGTTGCTTTTGACATTTGGAATTGAGTCTCAATTTGTTTTAGTAATTGTTTTGTATTGCTGGAGGTTGCTTTTGACATTTGGAATTGAGTTTCAATTTGATTTAGTATTGCTGCTTTGACATTTGGAATTGAGTTGATTTAGTATTGCTGGAGGTTTGACATTTGAATTGGTATTTGCTGGAGGTTTGACATTTGAATTGAGTTTCAATTTGATTTAGTATTGCGGAGGTTCTTTTACATTTGAATTGAGTCTCAATTTGTTTTAGTATTGCTGGAGGTTGCTTTTGACATTTGGAATGAGTTTCAATTTGATTTAGTATTGCTGGAGGTTGCTTTTGACATTTGGAATTGAGTCTCAATTTGTTTTAGTATTGCTGGAGGTTGCTTTTGACATTTGGAATTGAGTTTCAATTTGATTTAGTATTGCTGGAGGTTGCTTTTGACATTTGGAATTGAGTCTCAATTTGTTTTAGTATTGCTGGAGGTTGCTTTTGACATTTGGAATTGAGTTTCAATTTGATTTAGTATTGCTGGAGGTTGCTTTTGACATTTGGAATTCAGTTCCAATTTGATTTAGTATTGCTGGAGGTTGCTTTTGACATTTGGAATTGAGTCTCAATTTGTTTAGTATTGCTGGAGGTTGCTTTTGACATTTGGAATTGAGTTTCAATTTGATTTAGTATTGCTGGAGGTTGCTTTTGACATTTGGAATTGAGTCTCAATTTGTTTTAGTATTGCTGGAGGTTGCTTTTGACATTTGGAATTGAGTTTCAATTTGATTTAGAATAGCTGGAGCTTCCTTTTGATATTTTGTGGAGGGCCAGGCAACAAGACTTTATTCCCGGGGCCCCTGAAACAATGTCGAATTGGGGTCCTGGAGTACTACCCCCTTTATGGGGTTGATTGTGGGCAGGTGTTAAACAAGATACATGACAGAAAACATGCGTTTGGGAAAGCTGACCATTTTGAATTCAATTAACGGGCCCAAATTTAACAAACCTGGCTGTCTAATTACTTAACCGGCTAAGAGGCAATTACACTGGGCAGGCGGTATTTTTTCGGGGGGGGGGCAGGCAAGAAGACTTTATTCCAGGGGCCCCTGGAATAATGTCAAAATGGGGCACTGAAGTACTACCCCCTTTGCGGGTTTGATCGCGGACTGCTTTTAAACAAGAGACATGTAAGAAAACATGGGTTTGGCAAATCTGGACATTTTGCATTTTGGGGAGCTAAAGAACAATATTATAAAGATTCAAGGGCAAGGTGTTGGCTTGGCTATCTCTCCTCTCCTTTCTTCACTGTTTTTTGTGGGACTGTTTTTGAACAAATGGGCGCGGGTGGCGGGTGCTTGTCTTTATTCCAGGGGCATTTATTAATCTGTTGTCTTTGTTACGCGTGCACTTACCAATCCTATGTGGACATTAGGTGTTAAAATGGGGATTCGGAGCCCCCAGGATGGTGGCGCTTTCCTTTTGGTTTCCCTTTAAGCCAACCCGAAAAGGCTACGGAGCCTCGTTTCACCCCCGCGATTTTCAGTCTGCCTTCCCAATGGCCATGGCTTGCAAGACCATTGGTTGATCCATAGGGTGTCCCATTTTGGAAAAGGGATCGGGATATCACTCTTGCGAACACCAATGCCACCGCCCCCCCCCCCAATGATCCACCAGGTCGATACATCCAAAATCAACAATAGCGCATTTTACAGCGCCTCTCCCCCCAACTAACATGGAACCAACCAACCTTGCTTGTTTGTTTGCTTGCTTGCTCGTTCCCCTGCTTGCTTGGGCGGGTTTAGGGCTGGTTCAGGGTCGGTTGGTTGCACTCTTGCTTGCTTGCTTGTTCCCCCAGACTGCAGTGGACAAACACTCCCCATTCAAGCGGAAAATCGGTCCCCGGGAAAATAGCTCACCGCCTTCTTTTGGGCAAAGCACGCCCCGTGGTTGCATGCGCCGTCCGCAAGGAGCGTCGCTGTCCAAGGACTCGGGACCCCCTTTCGCAATTCGCTTCAGGTCATTCGCCGAGGCACGCGGCTTTCACCGCGTCGCTCTCGATGAAGCCGTACTTGTTAACGTCGCTGTATGACTTCACTCGTCCCACTAGCCATGCGCCGTCTAGATCTCCTTTGGAGCGACATGACGATGGTAAGACACGTCGGAAGGGTGTACGATTTTCCGTGGCCAGAAAGCGGCCTTTGGTTTTAACTTCACTTCCTGAGGTGGGTTGACCAAAAGAACTCGTTTTACCCATAAAACGGTCTTCCCCAACAGTAGAAGGCCAGGAACTCGGAAAGTGAGACAGCCTTCTGGTTCTATGGGAATTTGAGGAATGAGCCCAAACACATCCCTTCGTTTCGAATCAGGTTCATGCCCACCCCTCAAACAATTCCTGGTGGCCAGCAAGAAAATCCCTGGAAGGACTCCCTGGAAAAAAAAGAAGACGTGTTTTTTGTTTGGGTTTCAGAGCTGGTTTGAGTGCTGGCATACGCTACACTGGCTGGCCTTAGGGGAACATGAAGGACAATCAAAGGCCAAGAACATTTTGTTGAAGTTTGACAATGTGAGGGGGGGGTTGTCACCATTAGGGGCACTTTTTGGGGTCACAAGGAGGCACTAGGCACTAGGGTTGAAAAAGGGGCCATGTGTTTGCAACCCCGAATGTATTGCATCCGTGGAGGAGCAACAAAAAACGCCAGCTTGTTTGGAGCCTATTTTTTCTGAGAGGGCTCGCTTCTGAGCTCCATGTTAGAACCTTGACTAAACATGGACCACCTAAAATTTGCGGGGGGGGGGGGTGGTTTGGAGAAGCCCGCCTTTGTTGCCGCCGTTGCCGCCCTTGCCACCCTTACCTGCGGATCCAACGACACGTGGCTCGGCTTCGATTCTTTGAGCCCCGGGCGCAACCCCACCATAGAGCTTCCCACGGATGCTAAAAGAAGGGTGAGCTTTCAACAGATCTCCGAATGGAGAAAAACCAAAACATGGGCTTTGGCTTCGCAGTTTGCAAAACTCCGGAAGAAGAAAAAAAGAAGAAAACAACATGCATGCGTCTAGCTCAATCTCTTGGCCAAAGGCAGTGCGCGGGCGCTATTGGCAGAAACTCAGACATAGATACACCACTTGTTTGGACCGCCAAAAACAAGACTGCAACTGTATCCAAATATGTTCAAAAGTGGGGAACTCCAAACATGGCTGATGTTCCTTTTGGCTCCGGGTTAACCAGCCCAAACAAGGCCCAAGGGACCGCTTGTTGCATCCGCCTCCCTCCCATTCCCTCCCTGCGGCCTTTGCCGCTCGCCCCCGTCTGGAAAGCCAAGGGCATCGCCTGGGGCAGAGGACCGGACGCGTTGCGGCATGGGAAGCGTGGTTTGGTCTCCACAGTGGCCTCCACCTAAACAACATTACCCCCCGCCAAAACAAAAATGAGAAGAAAAAAAACAACGCACATGGGAGTTCCGTCTGGTGGAAAGGGACCTTAGGAGCCCTAGAACAGCAGCAGGATTTCTTACCAACGCCCCTTACAGGATACCAGCTGGTCACAAACTGCGCCACCCCCCCCCCCCATGGCCGGCCTTCTTGGCCTTGGGCGGCAGCGCGGGCTCCGGCACACCGCCCAACTTCGGCGCCTCCGCCTCCGCCGGCGCGGATTCCGCCGCCGGGTGCGGCATCCCTCGCGCGGCCTGCGTGGCCCCGAGGCCCGCGGCTGGGCAAAGGGGAAACCTCATGGCTTCGGGATCCAAGGGATTGCCTCAAGACCTACCTGGCCGATCAAGGGGCAAGCAAATGACCTCAAGATCTACTTGGCGATCTTGGAAAATCTTGGCCCAAATGGCCCAAAAACCACGAAGAAAAGGCGCCACAGCTGTGTCAATGCGGCTCCTTTGGCCAAAAGGTAGCCGACTTGGTGCCTGGTCCATGACTGTGGGCTGCGGCTGCCAGGCGTCGCCACAGGGCACGGCGTCGTGCACCTGACCCCCCGTGGGACCCCAAGGGTTTTTAAGGAGTTGATACCCTTTGAGGATAGGGACATGAAAGGGAAGAAGGAGACCTGTGAAGGGGATCCATGTTTTGACATCCGTCTGGAGTTGATGCCCTTTCAGGTTGGTTGGAAGCACCAAAGGGGCAGGTCTGGGGGCCATGTCAGACATTTTCTCACGAAAAGCCAACAGCAAAAAGAGCCTTCGAACGTGTTTCACGTCCCAGGCAAGGTCGGCCCCAGGGCTTGCAGGTCTCCAGCGTCCAAACCCGTGGAGAAAAGCGGGGTTCTAGTAGAAGGACACCAAACAGAATCAATCTGCTTTACAAGGGGTTCCTCCACATCAGCTAGTAAGTGGTCTTTTAGCTGGCCCCAGCTGGCATCCTTCAACTTGCTGGGTTCCGGGGGTGCCCCCCCTCCCCTACCAACTCGCGACCCCCCTTCCATTCCCACTCAAGCGGATCCCTCTCGAACCCAGCCCTTGTGCCTTCTAAATTCAGCAAAGGCTTCCTTCCCAAAAAAAAACCCTCTTGAAATCCCCAGCTTCCTTCCCACCGGCAAACCTGACTTCCCCCACCCTTCCCAAAAAATCCTTCCCCATGAACCCCCGACAAACCCGAAAGCACCTCCGGCTGGCCCTCAGCGTTCAGGATCACGTTGAAGGACACCACGGTGTCCGGGCCCAGCTGCGCGGCCAGCGCCTCGTGCACGCAGGCCTGCCGGAGAAAACTCTGGCGCTTCGAATGCGCCCCAAAAACCCGAAAGTGGGGTGCCTTAAAGGGGGGCCCTAGATCTGGGGGCACGTTCAAATTGATGCCGTATATGTCTTAAACTTGATGTCTGTTTGATGGTTTGCTTTTTTTGATTCCTATTTGTTTTTGTTTTGAGGCGTATGCCTCGATCTGGCGGATGCCCTAGGGAGGTGGGGGACTGAGGGGAAGCCCAAACCGAACCATCCAACGGGTGGCTTCCTTTAGGGGAACCCAAGCTTCCCAAAACCCTTACTTCGCTGCAAACAAAGCCCCACCCCCTGGCCCAAACAAACAAAACGTGCAAACCTCCCAACCAACCAACCAAACAAATAGACAAACGCGCAAACCAAACCAACTCTGGGACTGTCAAACCACCCAACCCCAAAAATCGGCTCACCGCGCGTCTTTCGGTCTGGTCGCTTCGCCTCGCATCCGAAGAACTTCCGGATCTCCTCGCAGACCACGCAAGCCCTGGACAAACCGCTGGCCGCCTGGAAGGTCCCCTTCCTCGGTCGCGAATTCGGAAACTCGGCCCAGGGAGACACTCGGAAAGCCAAGTTGTTGTAGCCAAGAACCAAACTGGTCACGCCGTGAAACCGGAAAACACAAGAAGTTTCATGTTTGAACAGTACTTAAGTGGCTTTCTTGTGGTGTTTCCCTTGAAAACCGGCACCAACACGTCTTGCGCTGCTGGTAGTGTCTGCCTTTTTCTCTCGCCTTCCCTTGAAAAACAAACCCGAAAGTGGTTGGGTTTCCCTGTTGCGTCCAACTTGGTTGACACTGGCTGGTGTCTGTGTAAGTTCCGCTACCTGTGCAACAATTGGTTTGCCAATGTGGCTTCCCTTTAGAACATTGGCTTTATCTTTTGCTTTGAAACCAGCACATACTGGTTGGTGTCCTTTCACCGTGCTTGCCAAACCCAATCGCACAATCCCTTCGATAACTTGTGATTCCTTGTGCCCACAAAAGCGCATGTGGGGGCAAGATACCTTGATTGAGGGCATGCCGTTCCTTTCCATACATTGCAGACATGGGCATGGCATGCACGAATCTTTGACAGCTCTCTCGCAAGTGCCAAGGACAATCTGCAATTCAGGCCAGGCGCAAAGCATAGGTCCCGTCCACACCTCAACTCATCTGACCCTGTGATTCAGTTGTTCAGGTTGGTGGTTTGGAACAAATCCAAAGCTCAACCCAGGTGCTGGAAGAAAAAAACAAGTCACCTGGTGAAGTTCCAGGCTAAAGACACATCACCTGGCGACCCAAGTTGGGCCCAGCTTCCGTTCGTCAACCCAATCGCTGAAGCAACCCAGTGACTCGAACACGCCTAGGGCGAAATAATCTGGGGTGAAACAATTAACCCCAGGAGAGTTGACTATACATCCCCCCCAAGTGGCTGTAGCTGCTTCGGACTGGGGCAACAACCCTTGTGCATGATAACTTCCGCAGCTTGCGTCGTATTGCCTATCTATAGCGAGGTCCGTTGGCGAGCGCACCTCCAGCAGTTGAGACTCTGTGACATCTATCTGCCTCTGGATGTCCTCTGTTTGCCTAGGGGGTTGCTTCTATCCAGACTCGAATGGGCACGCGTCCAGTGTTGGCAACCTGCACTCTTTGTCAGGAATCGCCCTGGCGTCTATCGGGCAAAATCTGGCCCTGGAAGGCATTTGTCCTTCTACAACTGTCGCCATCTCACGCAAAACCGAAATGCAAGCCAAATGAGTGAAGGAGCCAATCTTCTCCAACTTCGAGGCTCCCGAGGTGACTGAACACCTGTGAAGCCATAGGTTGTTTCTTCGCTTTGCCTTTAGCCATAACAAGAGAAATCACAAGAACATCCATCCCCTTGCCGTTTCCCAAAGCCTGTCAAATGGCCCACCAAATGCCCGGATGTCATTTCACATTCCACTTGATGGTTACGGGGGTCCGCTGTGGCTTCCGTTCGAGAACGTGCAACCCTCCTTGGGTCCTTGCGACGTGGTACCTGGCTTGGACAATTCTCTTCTACAAGGGCCTTATGCTTCATGTTCACAAGGCCGTTGTTAATGCAACCTGGTTGCCAACTTTGGTTGCCACCTCATTTCCATACGTTCATGTTGATGGGTGGGACTCGGGCTTTCCCAAAAATGAGTGGGCCCGTTTCGCAACTGACACTCCTTTACCCGTCAACCGGGTTCATGAAAATGACCAAGCTCCCTTCAGTTCATGACCAGCCAAGGACCATTCGTATGTGGCTCCGAGTCATTCGGGTCCATGATTTGACTAACCGCCTGCCCGCACGTTTAACGGGGCACCAAGCCATTGGTGGTTTGGATCTCGCCAAAGTGTTGGTTCCGCTGTTTCGCACCAAACGGCCCTAGGTTCTTTTCCCCTGTTTCAACCACGAACCCTCCGGTGCTGGGTATTTAATCTGTTGCTTCAAGTCCGCTGCTCGTTGCTGTTCGTTCCGAGGAGCCGGTGGCCAGGCGCAGCAGGGGATGAGAGGCCTGGGCCTTTCCTTTGCTCGACATGTGCAGAAAGAAGGCCACCAAGTCACCTCCGAACAGTTCGAAGTTCGAAGTCCTTTTTCGTGTTTTCTCTTTTTTTTGTTTGCTGCGGATACCTCGGTTCGGGGTTGCGCGGGTCTAGGGAAAAACGAAAAGGCCGAAGGGGGAGCCTGGTGAAACTTGCGGCCAGTGCGTGGCTTCGGTCAAAAGGCATCCGCCAACCCTCCCTCCCCTTTCCCCAAAAGCCAAGGAAAGACGCCCCGAGGCCATGCTTGCGGGAACGGGGGGTGGGACCGTCCATTCAGGGCCCTTCTCATTCAAATCCCACCTTTTTTCTTGAATTGAACTTGGTTCACAGTGCAATTCTAGAGGAACTCCCTGTGTTTGGTGGGTATTTGGGACGAATTTCCTGTGGAATGCCTGTAGCTGAAGCCAGGTCAAGGGCTCGGGGACGGGGGGTTGGATCCTGCAATTGATGCTGATAGAACCAAGGGAGCTCTCCTGTTGTCCATTTAGATCTTGGAAGTGCCACTCCAAAAACGACTCCCAGTTGTTTCTTTCTATGGCACCCCCCAGAAATTGTGGGTTCCCTTTGGTGCCCCTTTAAATACCACAGAAAAAACTCATGCGGTGCTCTTTTTAGTGCTCGCACCCCCGCAGCCCTTGCAGAACCTCGTGGATCGTGGAACCCTGGTGGAACCCTGGTAGAACCCTCGTGGAACCCCCCGGAGCCTATCTGGGCTGAGACCCCAAAGCTTTCAGCTGCTGGTGAAAAAACAATTGGTACCCACACCCTGTATATATGTACCAGTCCCTGGGCCACGTACCCCCCCCCCCCCCCCAATGGTATGGTCCCCCCACTCCCCCGCATCATCCGCATCTTGGGGATGATGCTGGCAATGCTGGGGATGCTGTCCAGTACCGTGCGAGCCCTGCAGCTTCGATCCCAGATTCCCTTTCATCCCGTGAGCCAACACCCCCGCACCTCTCGCAACATCCTACCCTAAACCAAACCACCCTGCAACCCCTCCTTAACCCCAACCCTAAGCCTAAATCAACCCAAACCCACCCGAAACCCACCGCAAACCAACCCTGAACCAACCAACCCTAAACCAACCCACCAAGCCTAAACCAACTCCGAACCACTCCCCAACCCAACCACCCCAGCACCCCACCCCCACCACCCCACCACCCCACCACCCCACCACCCCACCACCCCACCACCCCACCACCCCACCACCCCACCACCCCACCCCCCACCCCCCACCGCCCCACCACCCCACCACCCCACCACCCCACCACCCCACCACCCCACCACCCCACCACCCCACCACCCCACCACCCCACCACCCCACCACCCCACCCCCCCCCCCCCCCCCCCCCCCCCCCCCCCCCCCCCCCCCCCCCCCCCCCCCCCCCCCCCCCCCCCCCCCCCCCCCACCCCCCCCCCCCCCCCCCCCCCCCCCCCCCCCCCCCCCCCCCCCCCCCCCCCCCCCCCCCCCCCCCCCCCCCCCCCCCCCCCCCCCCCCCCCCCCCCCCCCCCCCCCCCCCCCCCCCCCCCCCCGGGGGGGGGGGGGGGGGGGGGGGGGGGGGTCCACGGCCTGGATTATATATGCATATGTGCTTGTATGCGTCAGTCCTGAAAATTTCAAGTCCTGCCCTGGACAAGAGAGGGAAAAATGCTTGCTAATCAAGAGTGGGAGTCGAGAGAGTTTAGGCGAACATGGCTTGCTTAAAGGGGTGCATGGCTCACTTCTGTGGATAGGCCCACAAAAAGAGTCCGATTCTTGCAGATCTGCAGTTACTTCATGGTGCAAACCCACCAGCCACAAAAACTTCCTGGGTAGCCTAGACTTGGTGCTTACCGTTCAAGTTGAAAAAAACTGACAAAGAAACTTGAGTCACAATTCCAACCCGGTATTAAACTGGTCTACCCAGAACCATGTAAAGAATTTAGAAGGCGGCCGCAGCTACTTCTGGTTGGGAGCGTCCCTTGCTAACCTTCATCTACCCGAATCGGTTTTGATTGTGACTCACTTGAAGTCCAGCAAGGGAGAGCTCAGGAAGGACAAGGAACTCAGGGCTGAGTCTTGGCTCACTCCGGCCTGGGCCTGCAAGGCCCCGGGTCATGATATCCCCGTAGATGAAGACCTGCTGCCTCGGGATCCCAGTCACATCCCCCAGCTCCGATGGCCTCTCTGCATAAAAACGGCTTCCCAAGGGCCACCTCAAGAAATGTAGCGCCACTTCCGTTTTTTTTTTTTTGCGGTCGGGGGGAAGGGGCCGGGTTTTGGAGCCGGGATGGGGGGGAGTCTCAACTCGCAAGCAACTTCTCCATGTGCGCCTACGTGCCTCCTTCAGGCAAAGGCCAAGAAAGGCACCGCCCAAGATGTGCTCAGACCAAATAAATCTTACGCCGCGTTTTGCAACCTGAAAGTCACGTACCAAGGGTCGCAGCGCAGCTGCAAGCTAGAAAAATCAAGAACAGCAGGCGATGGTTGCCAATGGGCCCCCCCAAAAGGAGCGCCCTGTTGGCCTCAGGTTGTGCCTAGGGTCTGGTTGATCTAATAGGGTCCTTTGTAGGCCGATTTCAAGTGCGGGACCCTGCTTAGCAAAATGAATGGCCAAAAAAAGGTGCCCATTCCCCACCCCCCCTCCCTCCCGGCCATCCATTAGATAGAGCATAGGCTAGGCAGGCAATTAGCTCTTCTTTGTCAGGTTTCAGTAGGATGCTTGGGGAAGGCAATGCAGGAGGCAAAATGGTGAGTGACGAAAGTGGAACGCACCCAGCGCACTCCAACCAGTGCTTTTTGGACAGGACCAAGGGGAGTTTGGACACGGGACAAAGCAGTTGGGTGCTGGACATTAAAACTCAAACGGAGCTGGCAACCGGGTTCCTCAGCTTGTTCAACCGGGTGCCTCAGCTTGAACTTGGCATTCTGAAAAGGAAACGGCAACGCAGGAACACATGTTCGTCCAAAAAAAGCCTGGCACGACGGGAGGGTGCCCAAGGGCGGGCCAAACTGGCAGCCTTCTGTTGGGTTGCAGGCTCGAGTTGCAAGGCTGCCAAGCTGGAAACCCTGGAGAAAAGCTAGGGAGCCGATTCAAGCCAACTGCCTTGCAAGATCAGCGACACCTGCGAATGGGTCACGGGCTGGCTGGGGTGTCCAAAGCCAGAGCTGTGGAAAAAACGAGGCCAAAGCCTGGAAACCTTTCCGTTTGTGGCTAAAATGGCTCCTGCCCGTGTCCCCATGAGTGTTTGAGCTCGGCTGAAAGGAGCCGAGCGATCAAATGCATAAACAAACGCAGCCCTGCCAGGTTTTTTGGGATGGTCCCAACCCAAAACCTCATGCGGGGTGGCGGTTCCCATCTTTGTCCCTCGGATCTAGGCATCTTCCCTGACCGGAGGTTGTGGCGTGCGAATGGACAGCTGTTCTTGCCCAAGGCACCCCAGGCTTGCTTTGACAGAGTCGCACTCCTTGGTTCCGAAAAGCGGCCGAAATCGCACCCAAGCTCGGCCCAAGGCAAAGCCATCACTTGCAACCCCGCAGCGTTCTAGGCATGACTTTTCTTGGCTTGGTACTTGCTCCCTTCAAGTGTGGAGGGGGCCTGGAAAGAACGAGCTTTTTACACCAGGGGTTACACAAAACGACAGCTGGGACACGGTGCTTCCTGTTGCAGGTAATTACTCAGCAAGACAGATCACATGAGCCTAGGGCAAAAAACCTCTTTTACAAATCCAGTTCAGGACAGTTGTTTCCGACCAAACCGTTTTGTTGACAGCACTTGCCTTTTGACTCATTGGTTTACGCACCCAGAACACAGATTGGGTGTCGACAAAGCGGTTGATCAATCAATTCCTGTCAATCATGTCAATTCCGCAACTAGCGACCTCCCCCAAACCGACATGGAATTCCTAAAGTGCAATCATTCTTAGAGCAAACTTCTTTTGGGGGACCCAAAGCCATGTAAATTGTAAGTTGCAGGGCTACGCAAGAGAGGCTTGCGACTAGCCGATTGCCCATTGGCATGGTCATGGCAACCGCGGAGGGTGCCGCTCAGCAAATCAAGGAAAGGACAGGAGCAAAACAACAAACAAGACAACAACTACAAGCCAATATATCAAAGCAAATGCAACGGTCCAATTTGAGATTCGTTCCCCTCCGCGGGCCATGTACACTGCACGGTACTAGCAAAAGGAGGGGGAAGTGCCTCTTGAGAAGTTCCTCGGGGGCTTGGGTTCATTGAAGTGGTTTCCCTAAATCGTGGGGGCAATGGCCGGGAACCCAAAAATAATTTTGACAAACCATGCAAACGCGGACCCACTTTAAGGGACACCCTTAGGGACCAGAGCACCAAGCGTGCGCTCGCTTGCCACTAAATCCCCATATCAGCCCGAGGTGCGATAAAGCCGCACTTCTTCTCCTCGGTCGAACAGGGTTTCTCCATGTGACTTGCTTTCCTTTCAACTTCCCGTTCGGGTAGCCTGACAAAAACACGAGATTGCCCATATTTCACCCGGAAGGTGGTTTCGAGGATTGGGTTTGGGGACACTTCCTCCTCAAAGAAGTCATGACGCTTGGGGAATATGGGCGACCTTGTCAAGCGCTTTGGGAACTGCTTTCTTGATAGCCACACGTTCAAAGTACATTGAAGCAAAGGGAGGTCTCGCCTCTTGGGACCTTGGCTAAACATGGACCAACAACGCAACCAAGCCAACATTCAAAAGGTCGGCTTTGAACAAGTGAGTCTTGTTCAGTGTCCGAAGCCCCTACGGATTTACGGTTCTCACCTTGCGCCAACCCCTAAATCAAAGGGCTTGGAAAGCGCTTCCCGGTTGGTTGGGGCCCTGACTTCGGTAGAACTTGGGAAATGCCGCCTACGGAAAAAAAAGCTAAGCATTTATCCACAGTTCCCTGCGTTTCCCCTCACATTTCACACCACCAAAAGGGAAACTCACTTTAGGCAGCCAACAGCGTAAAACCACCGAAAGGGCACGCTGGACAGCTTGACCTTTTCAACCTTAATCAACCAACAAAAAAGACCGTAAAAGCGTGCCAGCTCAGCAAAAACAATAGCTGGTAGCTGGTTACGAGGCTGGACTGATTGCCAGGGTGCAGGGATGTAGCTTGCCACAACGCCAAGGGCACAAGTCGCGCCCGCCTGATGCGCATCCGGAGGATATTCAAGCTCTTTGGGTCAGGCTGATGGGCGGAACAGGTCCAACTTCTTGTCTGCCAAAGTGGCCGTGTCTTTTTGGTCATGGACCTAGGTAGAAGGAGCTTCCAAGCTTTACGGAGAGAGGCTCAGAGAGGTCAAATCCCGACTGTCGGTGTGTTCATTCGACAGGACCTGCTGGGCCCAAATAATCGTGCAGGGAAAGACAGCCATCGCTGACACCAAAGTAGGCGATTCCCAGAACTGATTCATGATGTGAAGGGCTGGTTTGCAACCACCAGCACAGCATGCACAGCTGCCCAGGGTTGAGTTCAAAGCCAGGCCAAAGTGCAGCCAAGACCTTTCCTTTGTGCGACATGTGACCCAGCTATGTCGCGTATCAAGGCGGTCATTTGTGCAGAAGGGTCTCCCACAGTGCAAAAGCAGTCGGCTTGAAAACACCAACGCCTCTGAACCAAGCTGATCAACGTGCAGGTCATTACGCATCACTTGCCAGATGCGAAAGAAACAATACACGGCCCAAAGAAGCGCTCAAGGGAAAAAGGATCGAGCCACTCCCGTCACGTATTGGAAGCCCAGCGTAACCGAGAACGTGAGCCATTTCGCATGCAAAAGCCATGGCCAAATCTCGTTCAAACCGATCAGGAGCAAACAAAACCAAACTGTTTGCGACTGAAAGTAAGCCATGATTAGATTTAGGCCCTGCTCTACACATATTCTACCGCTTCCTTCGCTTTTGGACCATAAACAGTTCCAAGCCCGCTGTTGCAAATAGCGGGCATCCAAGGAACAAAAACGATAGCCCGGGCACTTCTTGAAACTGGTGCTAAATAGGGTGCTCGGGAAGAAAGGAATTGACCCCTCCTGGTTCCCTTTTAGCTGGGCCAAACGGATCCCAGCAGGTCCCTGCAAAAAGTGACCACATCTTAGGCTGGTTGACAGGGAAACGTTGGACAAGCAAAACGGCCAAAATTGAACCGGGGTAAGCTCAGCCTGGCTAAAAACATGCTACCGGAAAGTCAGGGGGGTTGACGTCTGCCACGTTTCCGCGTGCCACTTTCCGCGTCATTCGCGTGCGTTCCCTGCGTTTCTGCCCGCCTCCCGCTTCTTCTGTGCGCCAGCGAGGTCCGAGTCGCGGAGCTCGCGCCACGCTTTGCCTCTCGCTGCGCCGGCTTCCGCGCGGGGAAACACTTGGGGCTTTTGAAAAAGCTGCCGTGGAAACAGCGGAGATCCTGACTTTGCGTAACAGCAACTTATCATGACTTGGTAGACTTGGTAGCTGCTCCAAGGTGGGAGCAAGCTCCTCACCGTGAGGTTCAACGCCATGTGTTTCCAGGGCGGGATTCGGCACACCATGGCACACCATGGCAAACCCGATGGACCAGAAAACAAGCTCCCCAGAGGTGCGTCACTTTGGGTGAGTATGGCAGGGAAAGGATTGGGACACATTTTTTTTTGGGGGGGGGCCGGAAACTGTTCCACATCCCTTTTGATATCGAGGTCAATTCCACTGGTGATTTAGAACAAACCAACCACATCGCCACCTGATGTTGAACATGTATTTGTTTTGCTTCTATATGTGTATCAACTGGGAATGTGACATAAGTCTTCGACTTAGCGGGTCTGAGATTCAATTAATCCCAATTGGAGATGAAGGGGACAGGGGACTCCTTTCTTGTAACCCAAGGAAGAATGAGCGGTTTTACCCAGAGTCATTCTTACCTTGGGTGTAAACCACTTGGGTAGTTCTTGCATTGGACTCCCTTTTATTGGAGGATTGTCCCCGTGGAATCCGCTGGGTCCCCTTCTGGCCCGGTGGCTTCCAGGCTCAGGCTCGGTGTCCTTGCCCCAGCTCCAGTCCCACGAGCCTGGCCCAACGATGCAAACCCGAGAGACAGCTGGGGACCTGCAAGCCTATAGGGAGCCTGACTGGCAGATCCTGATCCCATTTAAGCAAAGGCAAGGAGCAGCTGACGCTGTCAACTAGTATGGTTGGCCTCAAGCGCTGACAGGACCCGATACAAGAACCGCATGACATGCTTCTTCATGCTGCCTGCTTTCTTCGGCTCACTCTGAAACATCCCTGGCCTTGGCTTGCTTTGTCCCGCTGCCACCAGTCCTGGTCGCCCTTCGAGTTCCACCACGAGCCTTGGTCACCCTCGCCTTTGGAGTTCCACGAGCTCTGGTCGCCCTGATAGCCCTGCGTGGCCTTGGCGTTCCACGAGCTCTGGTCGTCCGGATAGCCCTGCGCGGCCTTGGCGTTCCACGAGCTCTGGTCGTCCTGATCGCCCTGCGTGGCCTTGGCGTTCCACAAGCTCTGGTCGTCCTGAGTGCCCTTGGCATTCCACGAGCTCTGGTCGCTCTGCTCGCCTTGGGAGTTCCACATGCTCTGGTCGCCCTGCTGGCCCGTGGCGTTCCACGAGCTCTGGTCGCTCTGCTCGCCCTGCTCGCCCTGCTGGCCTGTGGCGTTCCACATGCTCTGGTCGCTGTGAGCGCCGTGCTGGCCATTGGCGTTCCACATGCTCTGGTCGCCCTGCTGGCCCGTGGCGTTCCACTTGCTCTGGTCACCCTGCTGGCCCGTGGCGTTCCACATGCGTTGGTCGCTCTGGTCGCCCTGCTGGCCTGCGGCGCCCCACATGCTCTGGTCGTCCTGAGCACCCTGCTGGCCCTTGGCATTCCTCGAGCTCGGGTCGTCCTGCTCGCCCTGAGGGATCCACATGCTCTGCTCGCCTTGCTGGCCCGTGGCGTTGTACATGCTCTGGTTGCTCTGGTCGCCCTGCTGGCCCGTGGCGTTGCACATGCTCTGGTCGCTCTGGTCGCCCTGCTGGCCCGTGGTGTTCCACATGCTCTGGTCGATGTGGTCGCCCTGCTTTCCCGTGGCGTTCCACATGCTCTGGTCAATGTGATTGCCCTGCTGGCAATTGGCATTCCACGAGCTCTGTTCACCCTGATCGCCCTGCGCGGCGCCCTGCGACTCTGACTGAGCAGGCACTGGTCGAGGGCGTGGAGGGACGACCCTGCCTTAGCAAGCTGGGTGTGCAATTGTCAGGTCATGAGCCACGGAAGGTCGAGGAAACAAAGCGAAGTATGTCAAGTTTCCGTTTAGGATTCAAAGGGGCATAACGCTAATCACATTGTACTCACGTTGGACATGTTGCAACACTTGGGAGTGGACCGCGCGAGATTTCAAAAAGTGATAGTAGAAGCAATGGGTCGCAAGCAGCCTTGGAGGCCGTTTGCTTGGAAGCCACCCAGAGGCTATGAGAGATCCTCAGCAGAATTTAACTGTGACCAAACCCAAACATTTGAACCCCCTCAGCCCGTGCCAAGGTCTCTTGCCAGGCTTTCCAGCTTTGCTGTCTGCACAAGATGCAACGTTTCGACACAAAGGATTGCAACACAGGGGCCAAGCAAGCTACGCAACTGATTGTCGAGACTTGCCTGCGCAGGAGGCTCCGCAAAGGCTATACGTCCAAAGGACTGACCTATGACCTATGCAGTACGCGGCCTTGGCAGTTCCCCTCTTTAGGCCCTTCACTTCTAAAACAGGCGCTTCTCGCATGTTCAACCGGAGCTCGTCGTGCGTTCTAAGAAGCAAGGGGCAAGCTATTCCAAATTCTTGCCAGAGGCGCCAGTCGCCCGTGGCTTTGCAACCGACGCTTGGTACCCCAGTGCTTGCGGCTCTGGGTGAAAAACTTCACTTTGAGCACCCTGAGAATTCCACATAGTCTGGTCGCCCTGTTCGTCCTTCCACATGCCCTGGCCACCTTTGGAGTTCCATGCGCCATTGTTGTTCCATGCGCTCTGGCCACCCTGCCATTCGGCTTGCGACTCGTCCTGTGGCTCCTGCTGAGCCTGGCCTTCGCTCTGTGGCTCGGGCTGGTTGCTGTTACCCCAATGCCAGTTGCCCGCAGACGGGGCCACGGCGTCCGCGGCGTCCGCAGCAGGTGCGGTGTGCGGCGGTGCCACAGCAGGGGCGGCGGCGGCAGCGGCGGCAAGGGCGGCAAGGGCGGCGGTGGCGAGGCCGCTGTGGGATGGTGCGGGCCGAGCGCCTTGGCCCGGGCAAGTCTGTGCCTCTGGATTTGCCTTTCAAACTGTTTCCCCTATAGGCCTTCAAGGGACAGCCGCATGCGTTGCAAGCTTGGTGGAATTGAAGGTGTTACACTACCGTAGAAGGACTTCCGTGAACATTCGCAAACCCAGAACTTTGGGAAAGCTTGGAAGCCCGACGTGATTCTCCGAATGCGTCCTTCAGGAAAGCCTCGAAACGTAGGGGTAAAAGCCCATTGTTCAACAGCAGTTCATCTATCTTGCCAACAAAGAGACAGGTGGTCTGGTGAGAGCCTGAACCAAATCTTGCCCAGGCACTATCCGCCTGTGGCGTTGCATGCAGCGCTTGGTACCCCAGTGCTTGCGGCTCTGCGTGAAAACCTTCACTCTGGTCGCCCTGAGAATTCCACATAGTCTGGTCGCCCGGCTCATCCTTCCACATGCCCTGGCCACCTTCGGAGTTCCATGCGCCATTGTTGTTCCATGCGCTCTGGCCACCCTGCCATTGGGCTTGCGACTCGTCCTGTGGCTCCTGCTGAGCCTGGCCTTCGCTCTGTGGCTCGGGCTGGTTGCTGTTACCCCAATGCCAGTTGCCCGCAGACGGGGCCACGGCGTCCGCGGCGTCCGCGGCGGGCGCGGTGTGCGGCGGTGCCACAGCAGGGGCGGTGGCAGCAGCGGCGGCAAGGGCGGCAAGGGCGGCGGTGGCGAGGCCGCTGTGGGATGGTGCGGGCCGAGCGCCTTGGTCAAGTCTGTGCCTGTTTGAACTATAGCACTTTAAGGGAAAGCCTTCAGCAATTGTGTGAAAGAAAGCATGAGAACGGTAATTGAAGGAGAGCTGACAGGTACGCTACGGGTGGGTACTTGCACTATAAGGACTTCTGCCAGACTCTTTGAAGCACCACTCAGGTGCTACTGAGGCCTTATTCGCAAAACGGTGCCTCCTTTATTGCCGCATAAGGGTTAGTGCCAAAATGGGAGGATTGCCCAGTTCCACTGGGCAGCTCCCCTCAGCAGCTGATGGGAGTAGGATTGATGCCACTCCCACAGCGAGGGAGAAATCCTCCCACCTCACCGGATGCCCTCCCGGCATCATGGGTGAGGAAGGAATGTAGCGAAGATCAGTGTGATCAATTCGCTCTCGACTGAGGGGAAGACCCGGTTCTCAGTCGGGAATTGCGGGTCCGGATGAGTAAGCTCATCCGCCCACGTGTTGAAGTCGCGTTTCACATGCGACGGCCCCAGCATGACCTGCTGGTCATGCAGCGTGAGCACAATTTCCATGAGGATGGCCGCATTGGGCATCCTACGGGTGGAATCGTTAAGAAGGGAGAAAACATTTCCCTGGTTATCACTAGCCACCAGGATCCTAGTGTGAGAAGCCGAGCCGGCCGCACAAAGCAGAACGGCCCTCACCAAAAGGAGGAGGCCGAAGAGCTCCAAGGCCGCTATCGCCCGCTGCGGGTCCCCAGTAGTGAAGGCCCACGGCTCGCCCTCCGGTGTGATTCTGTGCTGGAACCACTTAACACGGGACTTGTCGGGGTTGGGCACGTCCGAGCACCAACCACCCACCCATGCATGGTCCGCCTGTCTGCCAGCTCCCGCATCAGATGCCCCCGTCCATGGGAGTGTGGGAGCAAATGGGGATGCCAGTGGGAACCTCTGGTTGAAGAGTCTCCCCAAAAGTATGGCCAGAGCACGAACCAGCTTCGGTGGCCTGCCCGAAGTGGTGCAGGCCTTCTTCCAGCTCCAAAAAGGCTGGAGGAAAGGTTTCGTCAATGGGCACGCCGAAGTAGCCCATTGAATACGGCCTAGGGCTTGTTCCACCTCCTTGCTGGTGAAGATGTCCCCCTGGGCCAGCCGTTTAAGAGTGGCCAGGATTATGACGTGCTTGACTGGAGCCAGCAGTACACAGGGCGTGATTGGGTCCACCACAAAACCCAACCAGGTATTGATCGGGGAGAGCGCCGTCTTCTTCCAGGAAAGCGGGACTCCCAGCGCCAGCAGTGTAGCCAATATGGCTGTGGCGTCCCAGTCCGCCCGGCTGCATCTGAGGACCCAGCAGTAGTCGTCCACAAAGACTAAGTGCCAGTCCACATGGGGGAAGATGTAGTACAAGAGCCTGAGCACCAGGGATGCCTTTCTTCCCCAGTACAGCTGTGCCGAGGCCATGCCGTACGTGCCCACTCTGTTGACCCACCACCGGTTTTGGATGCAGGCCACCTGGTATTTCCAGTCTTTAGGGAGCACTTTAATACGCCTGTGGGCCTTGGTGACATCTGCCTTGAGGATGATGAAGGTTTCCCCCTGTGTCGGCAGCTGCCATCTCAGGGGTTCCCCCCCGCTCCCCCCAGGGCATTCCGTGCCCGGGGGGGTTGGGGGGAAGGGGGCCCTCCTATCAGGGCCCTCGGCACCTGGGAGTTGTCCCTTTCCTGAGGGTGTCCCCCTGCCCCGATCAGGCCCCTCGGCCCTGGGGGGCAGGCTGGTGCTGCGGGGGTCCCTCTCAGGGCCCTCAGCACCTGGGGACTGCCCCTGCGCCGGCTGGTGAACATCCCGAGGTCTCTCCTCAGTGTTCGGGAGCGTGGCCCAAAGTAGATGGGGATGGTCCGTCGCTGTCCTGAGCCAGTGGATGGCGTGGACAGTCTCCGACCATCGGTGCAGTGGTCTTCTCCCCTGTGTGAGCCTGGATGTGTGCGTTTGCTCCCCCTTTGGAGCCATCGTAAATCGTCCTGATCTTGTCCGACTCATCAATCCCTGCAAGGGGGCCCGGGCAAAGTTCCTCCGGTTTGCAGCGGCACCTCTCCGCCGCCTCGGAGCGAGTGAAGGGCCCGTCCACCATGTCCAAGGCTCGTTCCTCGTAAAAGGTTGACTCGATTTCCTCGGCAAAGAGTTCCGCCGTTGGGTAGTTATCATGAGCCACTGGCGGGGGGGGGTCTTCCCCCAGCCAGGCCTCTCCCTTAAGCTCCTCCTTAGTGGGCCAAACTCCCGGGGAGGTCAAGGTAGGGTCCGAGACTCCCAAGGGGACCCCCTCTTTCAGTGTCAGGGGGAACTCCCAATCAGGGTCACCTGAAAGGGATGCCAAGTGCGACACTAAGTCCAGGAGGAAGGGTTGTCCTGGGCATCGTTCATGGAGGTGCCTCGGTCCTAGGATAGCCCGCAGCTCCTCGAGGTCGGCTTCCTGGAAGGGGTGTGTGGTGGCACCTGATGCCAGGGACATCCGGACCTTATCAATCCAGGGCCTGGTAAGGGTCATGATCAGGGCGCCCAAAGTAGCCAAAGGGGAAACTCTCCGAAAGGGGGGGTTGAGCCTCCCCGGGGAAGGTTTCCCCCCCCCATCTCTCAGGGGGCGTGAACGGAAACCCAATTGGACAATCGCAACTCGGTCAGTGAGGCGTGGGACCCGGAAAGCGGGCAGACATTCGGGGCGGTCCAGGACCTGGTCCCCATGTTCTTCCTTTTCCAGTTGTTCCGCATCTCCGGCCATCGGGGGCATGGGAGATGGGAAGTCTGGGTTCATAGTTCCACGAGGGCTTACGGTGTCAGCCTCATGGTGGATGTGCCCGTGCTGGCGGGGCTTCGGGGCATTCTTGCCTCCGGGCTCTGGGCCCTGGTGTGACGAGGAGGGACCGCCTCCCTGATTGGGTCCCCGTTTTCCCCGGGGAGAAGGGCCCCCAGGGGGGTCCGACCCCCTTCCCTTAGGTGGTTCCTTAGGGTTTCCCGGGAATTGTGAGGGGATCCGGATGTGCCCCGGCGCTGCGAGTGACACAGCGATGGCTTTGGCCAGGCCTGCCATCATATCCCAGGGGTATCTGCTGAGAGTCGAGGACTCGCTGGTGCCCACATGTGACTGATGTGTGCACCGCATTTGATCCCAGTCCTGGATTGGGAGGTGGTGGCCTTCTTGACCAGCTGGCCCAGGCGGCACTGGTCGAAGGAGATTGCTGTCAGGGAGTTTTCCTCCATCCAAAGCTGCCCCTCCTCCGTGATCCAGAAGGATGAGCATTCCTTGGCTTTGGGCAGCGAGCTGCTCACCACTGGGTCCTCCGGATGCTCCAAGAAGGATTTTGGCCCTGGCAGAGAGACCGCCGATCTTGAGGCCCTTGCCAGGCTGGTGATGTACATCTGCCTCAAAATGAGGGTACTGTCCTCATCAAGCTGAGTCTGGGCGGCCTGGTCCAGGTGTGGGAGGCCCCAAAGTGTCTCTCGAGTGCGTCCTCGCACCGGGGTGGGGGCCCCCGGTTTTGGTATGTGGCGCAGGATGGACCATGTCCTGCAGTTGGGTCCTCCCCCAATGAAGACCACTCGGCCCTGCTTTGCTGCCGTGCAGAGCGCTCCATACAGCTCGGGTTGGAGCATGTCGTGGTTCCCTTTTGGTCCGGATCGTAGGATGTCTACTGCCACCACCATGCTGGAGAGGTGCGGGTAGTTGGCATGAAGACAGCTGTCTAAGGAAGTTGGGTCTTCCTTGCCTGCATAGAGCAGGACAATGATGGGCCCACTGGATGGAACTTTGGGCGATGTGCCCTGTGTCCATCTCAGCCGCTGTGCCAGGCGCTCCGGGATGTTCTCCATCCACGGGAAGGTGTCCCCTCCCGGTGACAGCTCCGTGGGACTTGTCAGGGGGGTAGCTGAAAGGCGTTGGCCCCCTTCATTCAGCCCAACAGAACTCTTATGAAAAACCACCGGGTCCTGCTTGATGATGTTGGGCGCCGGAAGTGGGATCGGCTGCCTCCTGGGCGTGTTCCTCGGCGTTGCGGTGTGCTGCCAGTTGTCCGGCACTCGGGCCTGCTGGGCGCGGCCCCCCGTGTCAGGGCCCTTGGCACCTGCGGGGAACCGTCCCGCCCCTGCCATCTCAGGGCCCTCGGCACCTGTGGCACGGGGCTGCGGCGTTGCCGTTGTGTCAGCTGTGTGGTTGTTCTGACCCCAGCTGGGGTGTTGTGCACGCTGGTTCTGTCGTCCCCATCCTTGTTCCGCCGAGGAGGGCCGCCGCCTGGCCTGTCCCCCCCCTGTGTCAGGGCCCTCGGCACCTGCAGGAGGGGGCTCATGTGCCTGCTTGGGGCGTTTTCGCCCCCTCTCGCCCCCCCGGGCCCTATCAGGGCCCTCGGCACCTGAGGCCTCCCGGGGGGTCGGGGTCCGAGCCCCTAGTCAACCCGGGCAGTCCTGCGGGAGGTGGTCTCCCAGGCAGATGCGGCCCGTCGCCAGGATGAGGTTGCACTTGTGCGTGCGTCCGCAGTTGCCCGGGCAGCGCCCGCGCATCCAGTTGTTACAGAACTGGTTCCCTTTCGGATCGGTGGCCGCCTGCTTGTTACTGCCCCTGGAGGCCTGATTGTTCGGCTGGGGGGGCTTACCTTTCCCTTTGCTCCCAGGCTTGCCCCTGGACTTCCCCTTGCCCCTGGACTTGTTCTTGCCCTTCTGGGGTGGTGCGTAGTCCATGGATGTCCTGGTCTGTGGGCGGCCCCTGGAGAAGGTCCTGATCTTCTCATAGACCTCACGTGTCCAAAACAATGTGTCCTGCCTTACCGACAGCATGGCCGCCTTGAGGGTGCTGCCCTCATGCATCTGCTCGTGAATCTTCCGCCATGCATTGCGTTCGGCAATTGCCAGGACGTGGTCCTCGGGAGGGGGAAAACGGCCCCCGATGTCCTCCCCATAGAACCACTCATACCAGCTCTCCAGGTCCTCTCGGGTGATGTCGAACTGGCCGAACTGTGGAAACGATAGGACGCACATGAGGAGGGTGT